TCCTGTCAGGATTACAACTTTGTTAACCCCACAAGGCAGCTTACTTTGTGCTTAGGGTTGCCACAAGTTGGAATCAATTAGCCAACTTTGGATTTATTGTTTGTATTTTATATACTTAAAGAATAATTGTTCAGAGTTTTAATTTCTCTGACTTCTTATTATTTTCCCCCTAATGAGAAGCTCTTCCTTGAAAAATCTTTCATATTTTTTCACTGCTTTGGGGAAGTTTCAAAAAACAACACCCAAGCCACAGCCCCAAGCTGACTCTGACTCATAACTCATAATGACCCTGTATAGAGTTTCCAGGACTAAAAATCATTATGGGAGCAACAGAAAGCCTCATCTTTCTCCCAGGGGGTGGCTGGTGGGTTCGAACCGCCAACTTTGTGGTTAGCAGTCCAATGCTTATCCTATAGTGCCATTTCTGGATTTTAAGGTTAAGAACCTGCCCAGCCGCATTGTCTCATGGGGCAGATAGCAGATGTGCCTTGATGACCCTTAGTTGTTTGCTGTAGAAATATTGGGATCTGGCCATGGAATGAGCACTACAGGGAGCATTGTACACACACACATATACACACACACACAAACACACTCCTGGCTGAACATTCAATGCTAAGATCGCAGTGCCACTGGGGCCTGAGGCAGAATCACTTCGGGAACCAGCTGTGTGACATTTGGCAGGTGGCTGGCTTTCTCAGTGCCTAATGGTGATGAATTACATAACAAAGTGAAATAAAGATCTCAGATGGCAGATAAGACACTGGGTTGAGTTTCTGGCTCTGCCAGTTACCTGTAACCTTGGTAAGTTTTTAACCTTTCTAAAGGTTAGAAAGGGCTAATGATAGCTCTTTTATCAGCTGGCACTGGATGTCCAAGAGATAAGCTTCGTAAGATTGTGCAACAGAAACCAGACAGGGGTAACTGCCCCTGTCAAAAAAAGGTTATGGATCGTTTTTGGGGGAGGGGTGGGGAGAAGGAAGATGAAGGGTGGGGTTAGGGTTTTCAGTAACTAATGAAGGGGACAACAAAATGACCCTGGGTAAATGCTTATGGAGTCTTGGTGTGGCACTATAGGATCAGCACTGGACTGCTAAACATAAGTTAGCAGTTCAAACCCAGTAGCCACTCCTGGGAACCAACTCGACAGCAGATAACGAAAAGTGCTTTTGAGAAACAACTTGTTTATTTCCCAAAGACCCCTTAATGGCTCAGCTGCCTTCTGGGAAACTGACAAAAGAGGTGGACCCTCTGCCCAGAAATACCCTCCTTGGCATAAAATTTTTGGGACTTCCTAAAACCCCTAAAAAGCCACCTTAACTCCTGGCTGAAGAGCTCAGAGGAAAATGGTAGGAAATGAGAACTTGGGGTGTGGTAACCCTCAAGGGGGTTGAGTGGAGGAGCCAGGCTATTGGGTGCCAAAAAAGCCCCTCCTCCAGACCTAGCGCCCATGACTGGGGTGGACGTGTTCAATTCATGGTGCTGTACACTTTTATAAATGACTTGTGTACAGATGTTATTGTTGTTAGGTGCCATCGAGTCAGTACCGACCCATAGCGACCTTATGCACAGCAGAAAGAAACGCTGTCTGATCCTGGGCCAACCTCACTACTGTTGCCACGCTTGAGTCCATCGATGCTGCCACTTGGCCAATCCATCACTTTATACCTTGGTTAAAAGACAACCACAAAAAAATTTAAGATGCAACATATCAGAAAACGATTTGACAGGCCACAATCCAAACAATGGACAATGGTATTTCTACCAAGTGAGACTATGACACCCTCAGCTTTGCCAAACTCTTCTGTATTGTTTGAATTTTGTCTTTCTTTGTTAGATGCTCTTGAATCTGTTCTGACCCATAACAACCCTACGTACAACAGAATGAAATGCCACCTGGTCACGCGCCATCCTCACAATTGCTGCTATGCTTAAACCCATTGCTGCTGCCGCTGTGCCAATCCATCTCACTTGGTCTCCCTCTTCTTCTCTGTCCCTCCAGCTTACTAAGTGTGACATCCTTCTCCAGGTACTGGTCCCTCCTGATAACATGTCCAAAGTATGAGAGACCAAATCTAATCATCTTGGCTTCTAAGGAGCATTCTGTCTATACTTCTTCCAACAGAGATTTGTTTGTTCTTCTGGTAGTCCATGGTACCTTTATAATTCTTCTCCAACACCGTAACTTAAATACATCAATTCTTCTACTGTCTTCCTTATTCACTGTCCAACTTTCACATGTATATGAGGCTATTGAAAATACCATGGCTTGGATCAGGAATACCTTAGTCCTCAAGCTGACATGTCTGCTTTTCAACACTTTAAAGAGGTCTGTGCAGCAGATTTGCCTAATGCAACATGTCCTTTGATTTCTTGACTGCTGCTTCCACGAGTGCTGATGGGTGATCCGAGTAAAATGTAGTGTTTGACAACTTCACCTTTATTTATCATGACGTTATTTTTCGGTCCAGTGGTGAGGATTTTGTCATTTGTCTTTTGCACCCACTGAATTTCTGAGAATGAGGGAAAAGCAAAATCTATAATTTTTTCTTCAAAGCTGGTAACTGTGGCACCAATAGAATGTTCTAGAGCGATGGCAGTGTTTTACATCCTTGCAGTCCAGTCCACTAGCTGCCAGGCACAGGGAACCATGGAGCATTAATTATCACTAATTTACGTTTCAATGGAAATAGCCAACTGTGGCTAATGGCTTTAGTACTGGATCTACCCCATGCTGGTCTAGGGCAGAGAATAAAGGAGTTTAACATCACATTCTTGCTGCTTTTCTGTAGGTTTGCCCGTTTCCCAAAATAAGTCTGTTTTAGAAAAGAGATCTATTTCTTTTAAAGCCAAAGGAAGCACACAGTGAGACAATGAAGCATTGGCAATATTGGTAACTTTATTGAACTCATTTACCTTCTAAAAAAGATTACAAAAAGGAGTACTTCATTTAAGTGTAATACTGTCTTTATGGACGTACCGTGGTTGGAAAGTGAAAATAAAGGTCATGGATTTACAGAGGGAGAAGGCAGGGCCCCTGTGGCCTACTGCGCCAAGCCCATCAGGTACAGAGGCAGGAAATGGCCACAGTTACCAGGGCCTTATCTGTGGCAGGGAGGTATCAAGAGGTTCCGGTCCAATAAACTGTCCTGGGAATTTAAAATAAGCACACTCATGGGCTGGTGAGAGAGAGAACTGTTGTACCGCTTCTAAAAGCTGCTGCGTGAGGCCCTAGCCTTCCATTAGACACCAGTATAGTGAACCCCAGGCTTGGTTTTGTTATATTTGCACTCCAGTTTACACACACACACACACACACACAGTCACATCTGTCTTATACGCCCATCCGTTCTTTTCTCTTAGGGACACCCCCTAAATCAAAGCAAGCCAGGCTACATGAAGTCAAGGGATCTATCTAGGAGGGGAGCCAGCACGTTGCTTTACTGAATGAATGTGTAAGCTTTTAGGGCTGCTGAGGTTGGACGCAGAGGCTCTGAAGGTTGAGCTAACTGACTATGACGGATTGGTTGGAACCTTCCTCCCTGATCTCAAGGCACAAGCAGCGGCTCTGAACCCTCCCTGGAGTCCCCAAGTGGTGTAAATGGTGAATACATTTGGTGGCTAACCAAAAGGTTGGTGTCTACTCTGAGGTACCTGGGAAGAAAGGCCTGGCTGATCTGCTTAAGAAAAACCAACCCTTGGAGACCCTGTGGAGCACAGTTCTGCTGTGACACAGACTGGAGGGTAGGGGTAGGGTGAATCCTCATGAGTCCCTGTTGACCTGAAAGCAGATGGTTACATTGTCCTTCCCTTTTCCTGTCCACAAAGGAAAGGAACAAGAAAGAAGCTGCTATCCTGGGGTTCTGGGGACAAAAACAGTTTCCCTGATGAGACCCATTTCCAGCGTGGCTTTGTTCCAGGCAGCCCTGGAAGCCGTTGGGCTGGGAAAAACCCAGCTGCCCTTGTTTGGTTTTCGGCAAAGCTCCGTCTCTTTAAGTTTGCGTTGCGAGTCCTGTGGGGGCAGCCAACTTTTAATGGAACACACATGGGACTCTTGCTGGGCTCTGCCAGCAAGCACATGCCCTGTTTTCTTTGCTTTGAGGAACCCTGGGGAGGAACAGGGCGGGCAGCTATGCTTCCCCCTCCTCAGCCCCCTACCCCACCCCACGGACCCCGTGGTTCGGGGCTGGCTACTCTGAGAGATGTATCCATTCTCTTGTGTCTCCAGGCCTGAAGACTTTTCTAGGAAAATCAGTGTTTGCTCAGAAAGGCCTCTGTTGAGGAGGGTGATGGGTTTCTGGTGATTTTCCTTATGAACCCAAGACCTACGGGCTCTCAAGATCCCCTAGGCTCCTGCGTCTTGGCCCCAAAGGTCTAGGCTCCCCACCCGAACTGGCAGTGCCAGCAAGAAGGTGCTACGTTTTCTGCCCTGGTGATGAGGACAGCGTCTGTTTTGTGAAGAGACCAGAAGAAAACGCCCCCAAGAAGACTGTAGAGACTGAGTACTATTATACAGCAAACAATTAAACTTGGGCGGGGGGGCAAAGCCACTCGTGCGTAATAACATTCAGGATATGCGATTCCAGTGACTCTTAAGTTTGCCAACAAATAAGACTCCCCCTCCGGCTCCCCCAATAATGGTTTAAAAATACACTCTCCCCCCCCCACCCCACCTCACCCTCCTCCATCTACAATTGCCGGATTATTGTTCTGAATGTTCTTCATAAAAAACTCACGCCCCAGCGTCAGCCACTGGCGCCAATTGATACAAGAATTTAGCTTCGGTCTGGGCTGTGGCTGCTTTGAACTGGGGTAACGGGAAAACAGGCTTCAAGCTGGAAACCAATTTCTGTTGGTAGGGAGGAAACAGAAGGGAAATCCACTTGCTTTGGAGACTGGGGAGCCTTAGGGATTGTGCGTGAGGGTAGCCTAGGAGGAGAGGAGACTGGGAGGGGGCAGGGAACACACATGGGAGGGCTCCTTCTGCCTGCCCCTCACAGCTACTCTTCTGCAGAGGAAGATGCAGGGCTCTCATCATCTGACATGGGCGCAAACTGAAACGAGAAACAGAGTTCCTTTTGTGGGGCACTCTTTCACATATTTGTGAAGCTTCCAACTCTGTAGAAGTGGTCGAGTGTGGTGAGCGCGAGGCACAGTCCTGGACCCCAAGGAGGTGACAATCTGGGGGACATGCCATGAAAAAGCCAACACATAACTGCAGTAAAGCATTTTCCTCAGGGAGCAGGAATAGAGAGGGTCAGGGAGGGTGACCTCTGAGCTGACCCCTGAACCCTCATGCCAAGGGGCCAACCATGAAGGAAGGGCATTCCAGGCAGAGGAAACAGCAAGTGCAAAGGCCCTGAGGTGGGAGCAGGGAAGGAGTGAAGGGAACAAGGGGAAAGGAGGAAGGAAGGGAAGAAAGGAGGACAGCAAAGGTTAGGGTGATCAGGCAGCCATTGGGGAGGACTTTTACTCTGAGTGAGGTGGGAGCCATAGAAGGTTGTAGGCACAGGACTCAAGAACTCTGGTCACTGGAGGGACATACTGTAGGATGAGGACAGGAACCAGGGGCCAGGAGAAAGGATCATGATGGAGCATTAGGGTTCATCCTTTAGGAGTCTTTAGGGGTAGGACCATGGATCAGATGGCAGGAGGACAGGACACCCACAACTCACTCCCCCGATTTTACCAGTAGAGCGGTTTCCTGGAAGCAGTGCCAGACTGAGGACAGTAGTCCTAAAGCCTTTGGGGGTGAACCATGAAAAATTCCCAGCTGCATACACACCTAGTAACTCAGCACATGTACCAGCAACCTTCTATCTCCTGCACTGTGTGGAGAGTCACCCTCAAACCTGGCCCCAAATGTGCCTCAGCAGGGTGTGGTGAGGAGTGAGGGACAACCTCCACCCTCCCTTCCTGGCTGTGAGCCTTTGGGTCAGAAATGCCACTCTAAGCCTCAACTTCCCTACCTGAAAAATGGGAACAACTGTACTTACACAAATGAATGAGAAGCTGGCCTATCACACACAGGCAGTACTTAACGTGCAGTGCTTCCATCAGATGAGGGAACCACTCTGGGGACCTGTCTCCTCTATCAACACTTATAACTGACACTATTCTCCTGTTAATGTTTCCAGAAGGGTGTTTTGCAACAGGAGTGCTTGGTGGTATCATGGTTACACTTTGGGCTGCTAACCAGCCGCTCCTCGAGAGAACAATGAGACTTTCTGCTCATGTACAGATTTACAGCCTCAGAAACCCTACATAGGGTCGCTATGAGTCTGAAGTTGATTTGATGGTACACAACGTGATTAAAAAAATCTGATTCCTGTGTTCAAGAAGGATGCTTGATCCAACAGTGAGGGTAGGTTTCTTTGTGGTGAGACTTCTCAGGGCCTTTGATACACTGATGTGTTTATGATAAAAGACAAAGTCCTCGGCAACCCCCATGGTCCTGCGTGACCTGTCCCCTCCTCATCTCCTCACCTCTTGTGCTTCACCCTAGCCAGTCTGGTCTCCTTGTGGTTGTTAAGTGCTGCCGAGTCAGTTCTGATTTATAGCAACGCTGATAGTGTTCCCGAGTAGTACCTGGTGGATTTGAACCACTGACCTTGTGTTAGCAGTTCAGTGCTTAATCCTACAGTGCCGCATCAAGACTCCCTGGCCTCCTTGGCGTTCCCCAAACATGCCAGGTATGGTTCAGCCTCCAGACATGGACACTTCCCTGGGTGTCTGCTCAGATGCCGCACCCTCTTGCTGAGGCCTAAAGTGGCTCCCTCATATCCCTTGCTGCCCCTTGTCATTTCTTTTTAAAAATAATTTATTTTTTGTTGCAAAAACATACGCTACCGAACATACACTGATTCAATGCGGGCAGGTCCTACAATGATATGGATTGTGTAACCTTCTTTTCTGAGAATTCTCTCCCCCAGTCACAAACTCATTGTCCCCAAAGCTTCCTCTCTAATCCTTGAGTTGCTACTTCTACTGCTTCGTTTTGTTTTTGTTTTTAAATCTTTTCCCAACTCTGTTTTCTATTTCTTCTAGCACTAACCCTAACCCCTCTCCCAGGTCCGTGATTCAACTGCCACGTACCATCACCTGGCAAGTGGACAATGATATGCTTTGTTGCTCCACTTTCTAGAATGTTCACTTTCATGAGGGCAGAGACCTTTCCTGTTTTATTCCCTGTTGTGACCCTCAGGGCCCAGAATAGGACCCAACATAGACATAATGCTCAGTATTTGTCAAATGTTATTGCTGTTGTTATAAAGTACCGTCAAGTCAGTTCCAACCCATAGTGACCCTGTATAGGGTTTCCGAGGAGCAGCTGGTGACTGTGTATTGTTAGGGGTTGAACTGTGCTCACCCAAGTATGTGTTGTAAATCCTAACCTCTATGCCTGTGGTTTGCACTCTGGGTGTGGCACTGCAGGATAAGCACTGAGCTGTGAACCACAAGGTCAGTGGTTCAAAGCCACAACCTGCTCCTTGGAAACCCTGTACAGGGGTCTCTATGAGTTGAAATCCACTAGATGGAACTTAATAACAAATGCCTGTGGTTATAATCCCATTTAGGAAGGAGTGTCTTTGTTATGCTACTGAGGCAGGATTCCTGTAGGGTGTGTCTTGAATGATCTCTCTTGAGACATACAAGAGGATAAACAAGCAAGCAAGGAAAGCTGAGATGAAGGAAGAGAGATGCCATGCCACACGAAAACTGTCTAGGAGCAGAAGCTGAGAAGAGACAAGGACCATCGCCTGGAGCTGACACACAGAGAGAGGAAACTTTCTCCTAGGGCCGGTGCCTTGAATTCAGACTTCTAGTCTCCTAAACTGTGAGAAAATAAATTTCTGTTTGTGAGAGCCATCCACTTTGGTATTTCTGTTAGAGCAGCATTAGAGAATTAAGACATTCATAAAGGGCATAGATCTGGATGCAGACAGAGCCAGGTTCAAATACTGCCAAGCCAACCACGACTCTGCACACTCAGGGCTCCAGGCTTTGTTCCCTCATTGGGGCACCAGGAAGGCTCACTAAGCAGATGACCTTGGCATGTGCCCATCAGCTCTCCCGCCCAGAGCCCCTACTCCCTACTTGGGTGGGGACTCACCGAGCACTTGATGTTCATGCGGGAGTACAGCATGGACGCGATCTCACTCTGCCCCGCATCCAAGGCCACCATCAGAGCTGTGCTCCCATCCTGCAAAGCACCCGCTGCTGTGACAATGCCCATATGGTGTCCCCACCCTCCCCCGGGGGTGTCTGGGTGGGCACTCACTCGGTCAGTGAGCGCGATGTCGCAGGAGGGAACAGCGAGCAGCAGCCTGGTGATCTCCTTGTGGCCATGCTCACAGGCACACATCAGGGCGGTGGAGCCATCATCGTCCTGTACGTTGACATCTGCCTTGCAGGCCAGCAGGGCCTTAACCATGTCCACCCGCCCGTGGCTGACTGCCAGCATTAGGGCTGTCTGCCCAGCCTTGGAAAGGGAAGGAAAAGGCTTAAGGTCCATAAGGCTCTAGGGCATGTTGCCCATGCTCTAGAACTATGCATGGCTCCCCAGTACTCTAATGTTAACATGTACCCTTCCTTATTGGCCTCCTGTATCTGAGACATGGAAATGCCCTTCCTACTATAGGGCTGTTGCACTTGATGGTCCTTCCAGTCGTCAGCTCCTTCTCACCCCTCAGGTCTCCTCTTCTAGGAAATTCTCCTTAACTGTAATGTTCCCTCATCTAAATCACAGGTATAAACATATGCAACACTTTTTGAGCTAATTTTTAAGCTCACACAAAATAATCTATGAGCTAACACTTGTATACTCTTCTACATGTCAACTAAACCTCAATAAATACTCAAATCAATAAAAATAAACAAAAGGAATTCTATAGAGACAAAGCCGGCTTGCTCCCATTATGCCCTTTATAGCACCCTGTTTCCTTCTTTCATTGCATTTAGGTGGCTACCCATCTGTCCCTCCTGGCTGCCTTCCTCTTGGGCTTGGTCAACCACCCATGCCTAGGCTTGCCACGGTTGTCAGATTCCACTCTCTGGATAGATTTCACACCAGGGATCAGGGCATGTTGCTCCTCTGCTTAGATTCCCACTGGTGGCTTCCTGTAGCCCCCAGAATCCAAACCTACCAAGTCCCTGTAATTCCTTGAAATGCTCCCACCTCCCGAAACCCCGCGGCCATCAGTGAACTGCAGTGGTGGGAGGAGACTGCGCCTGTGTGTCCAGCAGCTAGTCTCCAGTGTTCAGTCTCATCAACCTGCTGATGTTCAATGAATGGCCCGGTACAAGGAACCCAGTTTAAGAAAGGGTGGGGGCCCACGTGTCTTTCCTCTCCCATTTCCACACACAGCTTCTGAGTCAGGTGCAGTCTGGAAGGGACTCTGATTTACACCAAACAGGCCAATGCATAGTGACCAAAGCTCATTGGTGGGAGAGCCGGGGGTGGCAGGGCAGGGCAAGTGCTTAGGGGACGATGAGTTGATGTCCACGGTGGTGGAATCTTTTGAAAAAGGACAGTGACGATGGTTGCACCAGATGATGACATCACATCACTGAAACAGTACCAGTAAAACTGTTGACGCAGCAAATGTTTTGTTACACGTATTTTTACCATCAACGAAAAGAAAACCAAAAAGGGTGCTCTGGAGTCAAACCCCGAGTTCAAATTCTGGCTCCTCTAGTTTGACGTTATGGGGAAACTACCCTGGGTGTGGGGCCAAGAAATGCCCGAGGGTCCCCGCACCTGGCTGGCCTTGGCGTTGACGTCTCCGAGCCGGAAGAGCTGCAGGGCCGTCTCGATGTCATCCTGGCTCTTCAGAGTGGCCAGAGCGGTGAGCATGAGGGGGCTGTAGCCGGCGCGGTTCAGTTTGTTCACCTGACAGACTCCTGATGGAGTGGAACAGGGAGGGCGTGAGCCCTCGGGTCCCACCCATGAAGGACAGGCTGTATCTCTACCATCAGACTGGGAGCTTGGTTTCACCACCATAGGACTAGCGCCAGGCCTCCTGCCTCCCTTTGCTCTGAGCACCCCAATCTGCAACAGGAGTCTCCACCTCCACACACTGGGGCTCCTAATGATGGAGGCTGTGCCTTGTCCATCAGACTTGGCCTCCCCACATTTAGGGCTGAAAGTGGGAGCTGTGTCTCCCCATTAACCCCGCAGAGCCATTCAGCCTTTGCACGGGCCCACTTCTCCTCCGTCAGATTGTGGGTGCAGTCTCCTTTGTCAGACTGGGGAAGGGCAAGCGTTTCCTGCCTAACTGAGGACCACAACTTCTCTCTAAGTCCTAGACTAGAGTCTAATGGGGTTGCTTCCATTATATTGGCACCCTTAGAAGGGTCATAGCTTTTCCATAAAACCGTGTCTGCCCTTTTCACTGGGCTGTTGCTGTTAAGTGCCATTGAGTCGATGCCAACTCATAGCTACCCTATATAGGGTTTCCCGTGACCAGTTGGTGGGTTTGAACCACCAACCTTGCAGTTTATCAGTCCAATAATTTTTCACTATCTTGGGGCTAAAGGTAGAGACCACGTCTCGCCCTGGAGACAGGAAAGAAGACGTCTGCCTCCTCGGACTCAGGGAGGTAGTCAGCCCACCGGCTCACCACTGCCAAGCAGCTGCCGCACCACGGGGAAGTTGGCATGAGACACGGAGTAGTGTAGCGCAGTGTTGCCGGTGCCGTCGGCAATGTTGACCACATAGTCCAGCAGCCGCGATGACATGGCTCGGAAGGTGATGAGGTGGCGCCGTACGAGCTCAGGTTGTGCGTCACTGCGGCAGGCCAGACGCAGCCATTCCTGCAGCACCGTGGTGTACACCACTTTCTGGACACAGGGGCAGGCAGGTGATGGTGTTGGGAAGGGCCGGAACACCCCACCCTCTGCTGGACAAGCCCACTGTCCTGAATAAGACCCTTGATGGAGATGGGTGGGAACCCTATTCCACCTCACAGGAACCCAGAGCTCAGTGTCAACACTTCTACCCAGTTAAAGACTCAGAAGGGAAGTGTAGACATCCCCAGAAGAAAATATGGGCAGTGTCCTCCTCTTAAGCCCCGGAAAGAACAGGAACCATGGAGCCCACAGGCGTCACTTTGGCTCCCCCACCTCCTCCCTGGTCCTGCTCCAAGGCCGTGACTCAGTGCCACCCCCTGCTCCTCCCAAAGTTCTGGCTTCAATTCCAGGGCCCTTACAAGGCAGAGGGAGACACTAGGGATGAGGAGAAACTGACGTGGGGTGGCACCCAGCCCTGGGCCCGGCCGTACCAGCTCTCGCTCGCTGAGGGCGTTGGTGTTATCCAGATATTTCTCTAGGGCCAGACAGGCAGAGATGAGGTCTGGGCTAAGCTCCATCCTGCAGGACAGAAACGGGAGTTTAGTTTGGGAGCATCCAGATCAGCCTTGTGGGTTCCCCTTGCTCCCCACAGCTATATGTGGTACTGGGCAGGCCCCAATGCTCTCCACTGTGGTATCCAGTCTGAATAGTGGGATTTCAGGCAAGACCCTCAACTAACATAACTTCTCAGAACCCTTTCATCAGGGACAGGTTTTACATTCACCCCAAGGAGTACAGGTGGGAAACACACAGGCCCAAAGAGAAAGTGAACTCAGGACAAAAGTGATTCCATGTGGCCAGAGACATATGGAAAAAAAGTTCCCAAAGGCAGTATTTTCATCAAGGAAAAAAGGAGACAAAAGGAAAACAGCATGGGCAGATGGGGAAGGCTTAGGATAAACTTCCCTCCTAAATCTTGAACTATTCCCATCAGCATCAGGCCCTTTATCAAAACTTGTAGCCCTTCTCATACCTAGGAGAAAGTGCTCGTTCACTAATTTAGACTAAGGTGTACATGACTGATGGGAAGTTCTCTCAGGGGACTTTGAATAATAAAATTTGGGGAAGAGGTCACACATTCCTGACCCTGTCTGAACCCAGAAAACTGACCGGATCTCCTCTTCCACGTGTGTTCCTGATGCCCCCTCGGCTGTGGGCAGGTGCTGGGACTCCTGGGACAGCTGATATTCTTGATGACTGGTCTTGACCTCTGTTGTCCCTGCCGGCCTAAGCTGGGGGGCTTCAGCCACACTGGGAACTCTCTCCTCGCTCTTTGTGCTCTCATTGTCTGAGAAGTTCTCAGCGGTGCTAGAATCCTCAGATGAGGACTCATAGCTGGGGAGAAAGGGCAGACAGACAGAGGGAGGTGTGGCAGGCAGACAGACAGGACACGATGAGGAAAAGGGCATGGGGCATGGACTAGTCATCGGTTAAATGGAGGGGACAGCAGTATGGACCTCACAGGACTTCAGGGTAAGTGCCCAACAATGAGCTGTGATGCTGACCCTGCTGGGCAGGGGACAGCGAGGGGTGGGACGCTACTTTTCACCTTCTGCGCTTTGGGGGCCTCTTGTCCTTTATCTCTACATAGGTGTTACTGATTCAGGCCCTCTTCCCACTGTGAATAGGCCTATGTTAGGCTTCTTGTAGCCTCTGGACACAGGCTGAGCTTCTAGGCTGGGCATTCAAGGCCCCTGTGCCTTTTCTGGCTTCTCCTGACCTTTCACATGGGAGAACATTTTAAGCCCCGCTTGGGAGTTGTTTGTTCCAACTAGTCCTACAGCCCACTTGTCCCCTCCTTAAGCCAGCTTTCCGGGACTCTCTGGCCCCTTCAGCGCCTCCTCTGAGGCCCCATAATGCCTGTATATCCCCCATCATCTAAGAGTGGAGTGCTGGCCACCCCACTGCACCGGGGGCTCTGTCAGGGAGGGGTGCCGAGGCGTGTTTCCCGGGGTAGGATGGTGCAGTGACTATAACACAGGCTCTGGAGCCAGACGCCTGGGTCACTGCACTACCTCATGTAAGGTGCTCGGTCACTTCAAGACTGTTTCCTCATCCACCTACTGAGGTCGGATTAAATGGATGAACCGATGCTTAGAGCAGGGCCCTCAGTTCCCATGGATGAGTGAACCAAGGAACAAACAGGATGAGGAGGAAAGGGTGGGGAGCATGGGGGGGTGTCCTCTCACCCGCCATTGACCCCCACAAACTGGAGACTCCTCTGTTGGGCTGTGGGGTCCGTAGGTTCCTCCTTCCACTTCATGATGGACCGCACGCCTGCCTGGGGCCCACCTGGGGAAAGAGGGAGCATTGTTAGAGCCCTTCACAGTGACCCTGTGCCCAGCCTCCTGGGACCCTCTCTGTGACCCCTGCCACTTACCTGCACACCTGGCCTCCTCTGACTCACTTGAGGCTGCTCGCCTGGCAGGCTCTTTGTCGGCGGCATCATGGGTGGGCACCCCACCTGTATTCTTCTCAGGCTGTGTCAGAGAGGCTACTGAGGATCCCAGGGGTGACAAGGACGACTCAGTAGGACCCTGTTTGAGACCTGGAAGGGCAGGAAGAAAGGCGTCCGCTGTGAGTAATAGCAGTAAATTAGTGACAGTAAGAATAGCTGCCGCTTGTGGAATGCCCATCAGGGGCCAGGTCCTTTCTGCATTACCTCATTCAATCGTCCCAGTCCACAAGGGGCTCAGATTATTACAAAGGAGGAAACTGAGGCATAAAGGTTATCTGAGATCAGACAGCAGTGAGCAGCTGGATTCCAACCCTAATCTGTTTCCTGCCCCCCAGCTACACCCCATGATCCTGCTGGTGAGCTCCCTCCTCTGGCATTGTACCCAGAGTTGTCTGAAAACAAGATGTGGTCAGAGCCGAGCAGGGTGCTCGCAGCACACACACACAGGAGCTGTGTGACCTTGGGCAAGTTACTTAACCAATCTGTGCCTTAGGAGGATGACAGTTCCTAAGGCTGCATCACAAGCATTAAAGAAGCATTTGTTGATTCCAGAGATTTTCACAGGATTTCTTGTTGTTTGGAAACCCTATACAGGGTCGCTATGAGTCGGAGCCAGCTCGATAGCACACTGCCCCACCATTGTTGCTGTTAATTTTTTTCTTTTTTTTTACAAAAGCAGGGTTGCATTGTGGATATCACAGTGTGCAGCCTCGTTTTCTCCCTTTTTAACAAATGGCCAGCACAGGTAGTATTTTAATAACCAAGAGAAAGAATAACAGATGTCAGAAAATTAAAATTAAAGTCCCACTCACTTGGAGAAGAATATTAATGGTACCCTGGACTTCCAGAACAAACATGTCTGTGTTGGAAGAAGTACAGCCTGAACACACCTTAGACGCCAGGATGGCTAGACTTCGTCTCTTATACTTCAGATATATTACCAGGAGGGACCAGTCCCTGGAGAAGGACATCACGCTAGGTAAAATGGAGGGTCCGTGAAAGAGAGGAAGACCCCCAACTAGATGGATTGGCACAGTGGCAGTAACAATGGGTTTAAGTGTAGCAGCAATTGTGAGGATGGCACGGGATTGGGCAATGTTTCATTCTGTTATACGTAGGGTCGTTATGGACCGGAACAACTCAATGGCACCCAACAACTGGTCTGAGAAGAAGGATGGCATCCTGAGCATGAAAGGAGACCTGGTAGCGCAGTGGGTTTAGCTGATAGCTATCAGGTTGGTAGAGTCCTGGTGACGTGCTGCAGGATCAGAACTAGACTACTAACCACAAGGCTCACGGTTCAAGCCCACCAGCTGCTCCTTGGAAACCCTATACAGATTCCCTAGGAGTAGGAACCAACTTGGTGGCACACAGCACCAAGGTTGGTGGTTCAAACTCACCAGCTGCTCTGCAGGGGGAAAATGTGCAGTTTGTTTCCATAAAGATTGTTGTTGTTATGTGCCGTGGAGTTGGTTCCGACTCACAGAGACCCTGTACAGGGTTTCCGAGGCTGTAAATCTTTATGGGAGCAGAAAGCCTCATCTTTCTCCCATGGAACAGCTGGTAGTTTCGAACTGATGACCCTGAGGTTGGCAGCCCGATTCGTAACCACTATGCTACCAGAGCTCCTTTAAGATGACAGCCTTGGACATCCTCTGTCCTACCCGGCAGCTATGATTCGGAAGCAATTCGATGGCAGTGGGTTTGATTTTTGGGGATCCTGGGCTTACAAGCTCCAGTTCCCAGACCCCAGCCTGGACCACAGAATAGAGAGCAGGTTTTGGCTTGAAGTGACTCGGAACTACTCAGACTGCCTCAGCCCACCACTTCCCCAGGGTTCCCTCTTCCTGCCACTGGCCACAGACTGTGAAAACGAATTAATTTTAATTCTCTTTAATGGTTATAAGAAGAAGTGCAACCAGAGTGCTCCTTGGAGGCCAGGATGGCCACACTTCATCTCTCATATTTCATACATATTGTCAGGAGGGACCAGTTGTTAGAGAAGGATATCATGTTTGGTAAGGTGGAGGGTCAGAGAAAAAGAGGAAGACCCCCAGAAAGTTGTATTGGCCAAGTGGCAGCATCAATGGGCTCAAGTGTGGCAACAATTGTGAGGTTGGCCCAGGGCTGGGCAGTGCTTTCGTTCTGTTGTGCATAGGGTCGCTATGAGTTGGTACCGATTTGATGGCACCTAACAACAACAATGGTTACAATATTTTTTGACATACACAGGAACTACTTCCTCAAGTCCATGGGCAACACTCAACTTCGGTAATGAAGTAGGGACACAAAGATTCCAAAGCAAAGGAGGAGAGCAGGGTGGGTCTACAGTGGACACTCAAGCCACCCACTCCCAACGTCCCAGACAGATTCCAGGGCCGGCCGGAGCTGGGACTCATGGGGAGGGTGGGGAGCTCCTGAGTTTTTAATGTTGGCAATAAAATTTATATTTGACAAACAAGCACACACATTGATTGTATGGTGAAATCAAATCAGTGAAATGTGTGGCGAGATACATGGGCCAGTTCACAATCTTAATCTCTGCCCAAATTCAGGGGTTTCTGATTTGAAATCCTGAAAGGATCAAAAAATGAAGCCACCCCAGCCAGGTGCACCCTGCCTGCTGACAAAGCAGGCCCTGCCTGCACCCACTGGTTTTCCTTCCAGTCCAGGAGACATTGAAACTCCAGAATAACAACCATAAAAGTAACATTAACAAATACTATTATCACTATTCCACAGGGGGAACGAATGTGGCAAAGTGATATCCAAACTTATATTCAAAGTCTTACATGTAATTGTATACATCAAAAAGGGGGAGTGTAATCATTACAATGAAACAAGATGCAAAGGGTTAAGTGCAAAATTGAGATTCTGCCATGTAGACTATCGCTCAATGCACAATAAAAGCGTTAAAAAAAAAATTACATTGAAGAATTAATGTCTATCATGAGCTAAGATAATTTCACAAAAGAGGAGCAAAGATGGAAACCCAGTCTACAAGAGAGTAAAATATATTCCAAAGTGACATGGATCAAAAGAGCTGAGTATTATCACAGAAACAAATAGGCAAAGGGACTAGACGAGAGAACCTAACTTAGACTCTGTCTATGGGAAGTGGGCTGATGTAGAGGACATTTGTGGGGAAGGATGAGGAAGGATGGATTCTGTGGTGAATGGCATTTGGAAAGAGAGCTCCTGACCTCATACCATAATTAACAAACCAACTCTGAAGGATTATAGCAGAACATTGGAGGCCTCAGGAAGGAAGAATTCTCTCAAAGTGTCCTCCAAGCACAATGTGATGGCTTACTTGTTGTCTAGTACCATTGGGTGGGTTCAACTCAAGGGTTTAAGGCTGTAAGTCTCTATAGGAGCAAACAGCCTCATCTTTCTCCTTTGAAGCTGTTGGTGGGTTTGAACTGCTGACCTTGTGGTTAGCAGCCAACACCTAACCCACTATACCACCAGGACTCCTTTCTTCTAAGAACAGGGGTCAACAATCTTTTCTGTAAAGGACTTGTTTTTAGGTGCCAACTCATAGCAACCCTATGCATAACAGAACGAAACACTGCCTGGTCCTGGGCCAACCTCATATTCGTTGCTACGTTTGAGCCCATTGATGCTGCCACTGTGCCAATCCATCTTGTTTGAGGTCTTCCTCTTTTTCTCCAACCCTCCACATTACCAAACATGATCTCCTTCTCCAGTGACTGGTTCCTCCGGACAATATGACCTGAGTATGAAAGACGAAGTCTGGCCATTCTGGCCTCCAAGGATCACTCTGGCTGAACTTCTTCCAACACAGATCTATTGGTTCTTTTGGCAGCCCATGGTACTTTCCATATTCTCCTCCAACGCTATAAGTCGAATGCATCAATTCTTCTACGGTCTAGATAAATTTTTCTATGGTCTAGGTAAAGGACTTAATGTTTTAGTTTTTGTGGGGAAACTGTTTCTGCTGTTGGAACTTTTCAACTCTGCCACTGTAGCTCAAAAAGAGCCACAGACAATATGTAAAGACCTGGGTGTGGCTCTGTTCCCCAAAAGAATAGAAGAGAATTTTGCTCATGACAAAGAACAGTATTCTTCCTTTCAGTTTTCTACCATTTAAAAATGTAAAAACGATTCCTGGCTTATGGGCCATACAAAACTAGGCGGTGGGCTGGAGTTGGCCCACAGATTATTGTGTGCCAACTCCTAATCTGGAACATACCAGTAACTTCTGGAAACTGCCCAAAGAAAAATGAATAAGCAATTCACCGAGGAATCTTATTAAGCATACAAGGAGATGTCTAACCTCATCAGAAAGAGAAATGCAAATTTAAACAAGGAGATATCCCTTTGTACTTGCATCAGATGGCAAAAAAATTAGATACAACTAAATATTGGTGGAGCTGTGGGGAAATGGGCAGCTCAGACCAGAACACAGCTGGTAGGAGTACAGAGATTTCCTGGAGAGGTTTCAGAATGAATTAAAGTCTGCGTACCCCATGATCCAACAGCCCCTCTGCAGGGAACATACTCCTGGGGTCAGGAAGCGGGGCGTATGAGGATGGCCCTGGCATTGTTTGAGGTGACAGGAGTTGGAAGTAACTCAGGCACCCATCACAGGGGGATCAGATCAAGAAAGCTGTGGATATATGCCTAAAGTGGGAATCTAAACAGCCATTGAAAGTGACAAGGCTGATTTACAAACAGCAGTGTGGCAAGCTAAAAAACAGTACATTGAGAAAAACAAGAAAGAAACAGGTATTTCTTTTCTTAAGCACAATACCATTTAAGGAAATTAAACACACACAGCTTTTTTTTTAAGGACACCCAAGAATCTAAATAAGGTTCTGGGAGGTAGGTTGCCAGGAATGCTATTAAACGGGAGCAGGCAGAAACTGATGGTGGGGGTATGAATGGTGTGGAAAATAAAGGGCAGCAAATGATGGCCACGGGCAGGGTTTTGACACATTGAAATGGCTGGTGACCTGCCAGTACAACAAACAAATCTATGCTGGAAGTACAGTGAGAATGCTCCTTAGAAACCAGGATGGCAAGACTTCATCCCTCACCTTTTGGACAAGTTATCAGGAGGGACC